TGAATAATTGCGGGGGTGGTCCGTTCTCAACGATGGACGCCCTTCGAGCCTGGTTTTACGAGTGCCCAACGAACGACGGCCCTGGTCCGTACCGAGTCCTTATTTGGATTGGGGGGCCGTCGGCCCGTGGCGTCGCGACGCACGGCGTCTCTCCCTCTCGTCGTGACGGCTAGGGCGGCTAAGGACTAGGCGGCGACGGCGGCGGGCCGAGACGAGCGTAAATGCACGATAGATTTCCATCTAAGGGGCGGACCGCTATTTTCGGCTGCGAACCGATATGGATAAAGGGACCCCACAGAGCCGGCACTGTGCCACTCGCCGCTCTCGGTCTCTCGTACGACACACGCCCTGACCAGCGATCATTGCCGATACTCTTCTCTCGTCAGCCAACGGTACAGTGAAAAATATTCAAGTTAATTTAATCGAGCTTTCTCTGCTTGTGTCTTAACCCCGTGCAATAATCATCGGCTGGACCACTGCTCACCGGTCCCTCGTCCGACTGGAGAACAGTCGACGGTCTTCGAGTAGTACACGTGCAGTTTATTCACTCGAGTGATTCGTGTCAATTTTATTTGAGACCGGAACCAGTCGGTCCTCCAGCCGTTTGTGAAGTGACCAATTTAGTGGTTCCTCTGCTTGTGCGCTTAACGATTAATTATTCTTCTCTAGTTTTATGCTAAGATCTGTTTCTCTCGACGATCAATCGCTGAACCAATTCTAACGATTCTTAACGATTACGTAATTGCGATCCCTTAATTTAGGTTTAACGATCCGTAAGCGCGTTCACGTTGAATCGTTCGGTTTTATATTTTTTCTAACACGTGTAACGATGAATCGTAGATGATTCTAATGCAAACGATCTGTACGTTCGTAGAAAGTACACCGTAAAAAGCCAAGATGTGTGACGATGATGTAGCGGCACTAGTCGTGGACAATGGATCCGGTATGTGCAAGGCGGGATTCGCTGGAGACGATGCACCCCGCGCCGTCTTCCCCAGCATCGTCGGCCGCCCACGTCATCAGGTTCGTCTGTTCTCTGATTAAACCGTAGATCTTACTCATTCGTAAAAAGATCGAGTACCACTCTATCTGTTATTAAGTATTGCATTTCTTGAAGATCCGCGTCGATTTATAATTGAACTATGAAATTTGAATCGTTACAGGGTGTGATG